GAGATCTCTGTCCCCAACACCCGCTCACCCTTCAAGTGCACACACGTGCCTGGGGGCAATTCAGGGTCCCTGGAGTGGTGGCTGCTAATCTTGGAAACAGGAGCTGTTGTCTTTTCCAGTGTGTTTAACTCCCTTCTAGCTATTAGAAAGTGGGTGAGTAAAGGAAATGACTCAGGAGAAAGGGGACCAGAGCCTTTGAAAAAGATGAAACATGTCTGAAGTACAAATAAAATCTAATTCATTTATTTCTTTTATTACTAATCTATTACTACAAACAAAATCATGTTTCTGAGCTGATTGTTGGTATTCGAGGCCTTATTTCTTGTTCTTGTTATTATTATTTATTAGCATTACTTTTTACTGTCAAGACTTTTAAATCTTACACATGAATAAAAATAGCTGGATGTACCACACTCGGAAAATTCCCTTGCATTTCCCACCAGAATTAAACTGTACAATTGACTCCAAGATGCCAGTGGATTCTAAAGATGGAAAATCCAGTTAATGGTGGATTTGGTGTGGTTTGGAGCTGGGGAAGGGTCTCATCCCCTCCCAGAGGTGCCCCAAGCCCGCTCTGCTGCCACGTCTGCACTCACAGCCCCTCACGGCGGCCCTGCCCTGGGGACATGGTGGGACCCCCTCCTGCCAGGGCTGAGGCTCCTCATGGCCCCTCACAGCCCCTCATTGCCCCATAGAACCTCTCATGGTCCCTCACATCCTCTCACAGCCCCTCACAGCCCCAGGGGCTCCTCCCAAAGGAGAAGGGGTCGGGCCCTGCTCCTTCTCCTTTTATTTCGGTCCCTTCACAGCGACGAGTAAACAAAGGCTGAATGGAGCCTTTCCCCAGCGTTTCCCTCGGGGTTCATTGCCGGCTGAAGCTCTGTGCTGGCGCTGGCCCCAGTGCCAACATCCCTGCAGCCCCCAAGGCCTTTGCTGTCCCCCCGTGTCCATTCCCTGTCCCCGAGTCCCGCCCGGCTCTGGCAGCAGCAGCAGCCGCAGCGCAGCGGGCGCCGGCCCGGCCCGGCCGGAGCTCCCGGCCAGGAGCAGCAGCAGCGCCGGCCCTTCCCACCTGCTCCTGCCTCGGCTTCCCAGGGCTTTTCCCAGGGCAATGCTGGACTACAGCAACAATCCCCCACAAACAGCCCTGATTCCTCAGGGCCCGCCTCTGCTGCCCTCAGCCAGCCCTCAGAGGAAGAAAGGATCGGGTTCCAGCGCTGTTTCCAGCACTGTTTTACTCACCCTGAGGTGACAGCAGGAGGCTGTTGGTGCCTTTGCCTGGGCAATTGTAGATCCTGGCTGCTCTTGCCCCTCTTCTGCTTGCCACTTGAATTTTAGCAGTACAGCTGCAATTGCCTCTTTCAATCAGTGTTACCCACTGTGCTTTTGTCACGGGGAACTCAGGATTTTTGTTAAAAAGGCCTCATGAGTAGTAGATCTCCA